TGACTTTGGTAAAGCTAGAAAAATGAGTGATACTCATCCCTCCAAGTAGAGGAGTTACAAAGTGAAATACACTAAACAAAGAGCCAATCTTCAACGAAGAATAAGTGAATCATGTTCCACTCTTCACGGCTTTGGTAAAGCTTTAGAAAAGTGGAAGAGTTTCACTCCTCTAAGAAAGAAGGAAGCTCAAGTAATGAAAGTGAAAGAAATGAACAATGAAAGTAAAAGAAAGCTAGTCACTTTTGGAGGGTTGCTTCCTCAACCAACAAATGGAGGGTTGCTTCCTTAACTAACAAATGGAGGGTAACTTCCTCAACCAAAAGATGGAGGGTTGCTTCCTCAACCAAAAGATGAACTATCTCTCTTGATACAAGTAAATATAAATCTAAGAGTAAGAATAACTATATGAGTGGGAGTCTAAGCCTCCATCCAAGCTCCCTTGAAGCTCCAACAAGGGGAGTATTTATAGGCAAGGAGGAGAGAGCAAAGTAGTGTGGAGGAATAGTACAAGGCCTTCAAAGTCCAAGTGAAAGTCTCAATGTCCAGAGGGAAAATCAACCACTCTGCAGCCTGTTTGTGGAGATCGTTCAAACGTGATCTGGAGTTCGAATGTTGTGTCTGTCTTCGTTTTATGGGCTTTTGAACGCTATTTGGCGTTCGAACTTTGATTCTATCTTTGCTTTATGGACGTTCGAACGCCAGATGAGGGTCTAACCTTCTCACTCAAGTGGCCTGTGGTCTTCTGTGGAAACCTATTTCCACACTCCATGCATATCTTGGTGCTTTGCACTCATCATTCTGGTCCTCAATCAATTCAAGTGACGTTCAAATGTGAGTTGGAGTTCGAACATTGTACTCAAGTACCTCAACTTGTTGCTTCTTGGCTGCAACACACCATGTCTCAGCATCCTGGTTTTCAAATAGTTCAAGTGGAAGTTCGAACATGAATTGACATTCAAACGTTCTTGCTTTGTTCCAATCTTCTCCAATTGTGTCCCTCAACATGCTGGTGTTACGTCCAAGTGTGCTATTTGTTGACCTTGAGCCCTTGCTCACTTTAGGACCTGAAATGTCATCATTTTAAAACTCCATCAAAGTATAATTAGTCTTAAAAAGGCATGGAAACGTGCTAGGTTTAACTACTAATCATTGTTCAACATGTAAATCAAAGGAAAATAAACAACAAAATGGAAAGAAATAGATTCAAATAGAAGTGCCTCAAAATGAGAAGTTAAAAATACAAGAACGAACAATACTAATCAGGCTTTGGAAATGGACATGAAAATAACCTAGTTGTCTTCTCCATAATTCGGCAAAAATCTAGCAATGAAAAACTAAAACTAAAAACTTAAACCAAAACCTCAAAGCTCTCCTTCTTTCATGTTGAGAATCACAAGTATATATAGCATAAGTCTTCTCCATTTGATTGGCCAAGATGAGTGGCATAGGTGGTAGGTGAAATGTCGAAGAGGCTTTGTCCACTCAGTTTGTCCAATGGAATGCCTTCTTGAACCTTGGGAGGTGTCATCCACCAATAGGAAATAGGCTCATGGGGATTGGTAGTCACCCCATGAGTTTAGGAATGCACATGGCTGACCACCATTGATGAATGAGAATGCGAGAAAGCTTTTCCTGTGGCTGACTTAAGATCAACCGGTTGAAAGTGAGGTTCAATTGGTTGATCGCCCTCTTCAACCGGTTGAAGAACTTCAATGAACCAGTTGGTTGACTCTTAGTATCTTGTTCTTGTTTGGCATTTGACTGGTAAACCGGTTAAAAGTGGTGTTCAACCACTTGAAGTACTTCTAGTAATTTCATAATCTTCCTAATCTCTGACCAATCGATTGAAGTTCATGAGCAACTGGTTGAAAATGCTCTCAGTATCTCCTTCAGCATTTGAATCCTCTAATCAACCAGTTGAAGTGCCATTTTTTCCTTAATTCTTACTATAATCTTCCTTGGTGCATCTCTTTATTTCCTTAAGCTTTTCCACAACCTTTCCATTAATTCTAATCACCTCTCTTACACTTGCAATCACAAATATGACCTTCATCAATATTCAAACCAGATTTGGATGAATTCGTCAATTAAGTGCATAAAATGAATGGTTTAAAGTATAAAATGTGCAATATTCAATGCCAAAACAATCGAGTAAGTAATAGGTGCCTATGTTGTATAAAAATTTGATTAAACGAATCTTACCACAACGAACTAGGAAATTATTTTGGTGTTGTTTAGCTGAAAAAATAAGTACACCACTTACCACGTGCAACCTTCAAGACATGCCACCTACTTACTGCATCGCACAAAATCCTATAATCAACTATGGACCCTTCCTAACTAGGAAGCACGTAAATGAATTTTATATCTTGCGAACAAACACCTTGGATATTAGTTGTTCCTATATCGTGCTTGATGGGCAAGAGGTACATGTGACAGAACATACGCCCCATCGGGTGCACCGACACAGCTCTACAATGAAAAAAAGAAAGTGGAAAATTGTTTTAGGGTATGAACATAGATGATGTACAAGAAAAAGTATGAAATATTTATTCAAAAAATGCATGAATTATAAATAGTACCTTAAACCAACATCATTTACCATCAGTACTGTGACGCCCTAAAATTCGGGGGGTCTTTTCTCAACCATTGATCACTTATCAACCAGTAGAAGTACTCTTGTCTATCGTATAACCTGACACCACGTCATTACATCTCCTTCACCAGGATCGTAACTAAAACAGAGTTTGGACAGAATTTTCCTTGTACCATACCAGAGTACTATCCAACCCATAACTTGTACATGTTTAACCACATGACCATTCCAATGTCCAAACCCTAATAATCAGGAATTATTATTATTCATTTACATCATCCATAGAGGTCGTTCAAAAAGTGAATGTCCCTTAGTGTTACATTTTAAAATTTTAAGTTTTTGGGAGGAGGAACCGATACCTATGATATGTGGTATCGATACCTGGGTCTTCTGTTTGCTAGGTACCGGTACCTATGTGACTTGGTACCGGTACTTGAGCACAATGTTTGCTAAATACTGGTACCTATGTGTTCTGATACCAATATTTAAGCCCACTATTCATTGAGATACCGATACCTAAGATTTAGGTACTGGTACTTGAGCCCACTAAAATCTAGATACTGGTACCTGTAAGCCTAGGTACTGGTACTTGGGTCATCCGACAACATGGTACCGGTACATAATCACTTAGGCACTTCTTGATGACGTCAGAATTTGTGGGTGTGATCTTCTTGATGACGTCGAGGTGTGCATGTGTGTGTTTTGTGTTGGTAGGTTTATGTTAAGATGGCAGGATAACAACGAAGAAACAGAGAGCCTAAAAATTAAGGGAGATGAAGGAACACAGACGTTGAAAGTGAGGAGGAGAAGAAGAATAAGAGGGAAAAAGAGAGGTAGGTGGAGAGAGGAGAGTCTCATTTGCAGAGGAAAACCATAAAGATATCAACAACAAAATGTGGAAACTTTGCTACTGGGTACGAGATCTCTACAGAGAAAGAGAGAGCAAGAGAGACACACAAAGAAAGAGGTATAGAAGCTTCATCCGCTTCTCGAAAACAGTTTATGCTTCTCGCCTGATGTCACAGTGGGGACCGTTGTAGCAAACAGTTAACAGAGACAAGCACAACATATGAAGTAAGGGAAAAGAAAGAGAGAGAGAGAGGCATACCTTCGGGCATGTGAGGGGAGACCAGTGGGTGCCATTCACAGCAAGGGGGGACAAGTGGGGTGAAATGGAGAGAAAGGGAATAAAAGCCCCAACCAATTTACTGTACAGGGGTGTTTAGATAATTAGCTTGAGTATCCTGTCGGTAGGCTTGCAAAGGGGATAATTGCCTCCAAAATATATAGCTCAAGTTTTTGTAAGGCAACAATTATCCAATCTTTAATTTCCTTGTCAAATCAAGGATAAGTGGGCCCCTGGATTATTTTATCCAATCCAACATGCCTTATCCCCTTGATCCATCAAGCCAACACACACCCTTAACACTTCCCAACAACCCATTTCCATTCTCATTTGATAATAGACATTAAAACAATCACAATTAGTGAATCATACCAGATCACGGAAAAATAAGTGCAAAGATAGTAATGTGTTAAAGTGTAAATATAAACAAAAGGATCATCTGAAATGGTATATTATTTGGGTGCTGACATCTATTTTTCCTTTGCTTCCCATATGTTAACTATGACGGAGTTAAGTTTCATTAAAATATTAGAAGATATTCCTATAATTGGTTGAAGTCTATTTTTATCATGATATTTAAATTTAAAGGGAGCCAAATCTAATTTAAATGGAGACCATCGATTTAAGTGGCCCATCATGTGCATGTTTTGGCACCGGTCTCGCTTAATAATGTCTCAATAAAAGTTAGTTATAATTCAATTGGGATTAAGTTGTAATTCGATTACAATTGAGCCAAGTTACAATACAAAAAAATTTAAAACTTATCTTCCAATGTTAGTATCAATGTTAGATGTCAAGATCCATTTTACTATTTTAGGATTGATCTCAAGTAATTTTATTTTAATTAAGTCATAAACTTATTTAGCTGAATTAAAACATTTAATGTGGCACTGAAAATTAATCACACACTACACAATAGCCTTTCTCAAACTAATAATAGTGGAGGTGACTGGTAGATCTTTGTTTTATGAAACCTTTAAAAATAAGCAAGGATGCTCACAATCCCATTGGGCCAACAATCACACACAGGACTATTTAGTACATTATTTGCCTTCAACCTTAAGTTCTTATCATTTGATTTACCCAAAAAAATAAAAAAGGTTGATCTCATGTGCATGGTCTGGTTTGTGATGTAGTAGCCATATATTAATCTGTCATTTAGTCATCTCTGCAAGTATATCCCAATCTATCTCCCAGTCCCAACAACCCACTCTGGTCTCCTCCATTTTCTGAGACATAAGATCTGGTCAGACTCGTGTAGTTGTATTGGAACCAGAAATGGCGGAAGAGAAGGAATCCTTATCCACGTCTATTCCTTTGAGCCAAGGCGGCGAAGATCCCGAGGACCCCGTCAAGTCTCCTCCCAATTCTCCCAATTCTAGCACTCGTAAGGTCAGAAATTTTGATTCTTATTGTATTTCAACAATACCCAACTGACTACATTCCATCCCAGTCCCCCTTATTTGAATATTTTCTTCAATTTTATTGGATTCGATTTGGAGAGTTTACGATAATTGTCGAGTCCAATAATGATTACGGTCCGGAAATGGAAACTTGGTAATAATTGTAATGCAAAAATTGGAACTTAATGTGGGGATGGTGATCGGTTGAAAATAAGAGAATCAGATAGATCATGATTTGGGACTGTATCGTTTTGGTAACTACTGAGATTATCTATATGTCCATCGATTGATACATATTCATGCTCAAATGGGGGGCTGCTTTCTCCTCAATGAAAGTGTGAACGATTGACTGCTTGAAACTCATAAAGCACTTTAAGACAGATCGCTGTAAAGATGATCATATACGTATAGACATATGTTTTGTGGTGGTTAAATACTGAGATAATGATAATATAGAATGGGATAGTACTTTATGTATCAGGTAAATGGAACATGATTTTAATTTAAAATTTTCTATTGCGCCTGCCAGCTGGGCTAAAATAGAGGGGAACTAGTTATGCGAGGTGAAAGGATTCTATCAGGCTATAAATGGTTCAGTTTTGACTGAGTCTCTCAACCTGCAACTTGATTTAAACCTGATTAGTAACAGGGAATAATTACTAATCATTGTTTAATTATTGATACTTAGGTTTAGACAGCACTTACGCCCACAAAATCCACTTATAAAAAAGGGTAACCCCCTTGTCCATGGCATCAACACATTTGCAAATCTAGAATATAATATTTCCCGCCCGGGGCCGGGGGCAGGGAGGGGGTGTTATCATTGTGTCCTCTTTTGTTTATAAACCTGGCTTAATGGAGATCGTGAGGGTTTTAGTTGATGTATCTGTTGAGGATAGAGGTGGAGATATTTTATCCTCGTTTGTAGCCAAATCTTATTGCAAAGAAAACATTAATTGGTTTCCTTGAGGAATAATTATAGGAATTATAGGAATTTTGTGGAGATCCAATCATATAAAATTGCCCTAAAGGCTATTGTTTTGTGTAAGTGCATTTGCAGTTAGGTTCTGGCCATGGTGTTATATGAAGAGTTCTTCTCCCTTACGTGGGACAAATCTTAAACTAGAAAACGAGCATACCTATTGCAAGAGCTAGAGGGCTAGAGCTTTGATTTGTAAGATCTAAGAGAGAAAAGGAAAAGCTAATGTAAGTTACATATCATCTGGAATTCAAAAAGAAGGCCATTGTACGATATTTATCGTTTGGCATTAAAGACAAAGCCATTGAAAGAAAGGCCATTGTAAGATATTTATCGTTTTGTTTAACTTTGACAAATATAGTTGTGACATGTGTGAAACTAAACTCCAATACAATTAGGATTCCACTGTGTTCAAATTATTAATAAGTTCAACATGAAATCCAAATATATTTTCTAAGTAAATACATGACCAGTTAAGTTAGTGAGTGTTCTAATGATTTATCTTTTTGACAAATCTCCCTATCTTTTTGATAACTCTCCATTTCTTTTATTCCTTCTACTCTATTAGTTCAATTAACATGATTGTGAATTCTGCATATTAACCATATGCTCTTTGAACATGTATAGCATGAGCTCAACAATTAAGCAATTTGAATTAAGCTCAAGTACTCTCACAATTCAAGTGCAAATGTTTTTAGCCATTTATTTATGCGTCACCTTTTTAGATATGGCCACATTGGACTCTTTTCTCACAATTGACTTTTTACATCTTTTAAGGGATTGGGGTTTAACTAAATTTAGTTACGTGTTCATCTATCACCAACACTTAAGAGTCAATTACGATCATTAATAGTTTAAACCAATTAAACTCCTAAGTATATAGATGAATGGTTGCGTGTACTTGGTTTATGAAATTTTTAAAGGGAAACACTATCCAGGCACGCTAGGATGAAATAGAGGTCCCTATTGATTTTTTAATCCTAAAATCAAGTAAAAAATTTATCCTCTTGAGCACTAAAAGGTGTTGCTCAAAAGGGGTTTGCTAATGGCTCAATCTATGTTTTCAAAACACAAGATGGTTTAGAAAATCTTTTTCATTTCAAAACACCTAGGAGCCATACACGGATTGCTTCCAATTCGATTTAATCCTACTCATTCTAAATTAAAATAACTAAGGGTGCATCTTATTCTTAAGTGTCTAGGTCATTATTTTTGTCATTATATTTATCCTAAACTGGAAGGTGAATACGGAATTTGAATGATATTGTTTTGACGTTTGATCTCCTCTCTTCAATGATGTTTTCGGATGTTCAATTTGATAGCATCATTACCATGGAAAATGTTGAGCTTTACAATGGACTCCATGAAATTAACCAATTACAAATGTGATCTAACATATGCACATGTAATAATGTGCCGTAAACATTTTAGCCAACTAAGTGAAACTTCTCCTTGCCGGAGCTTGTACAGGTAGGAACTATTTGGGCTTATGTTGTTGTGAATGTGATGATTGATCACTTTGTTTTGTTTATCTTGAGAAAATGTAAGTTGTTGGAATCTTTCATATTCATTTAATTATTTGTTCAGGCTTGCTGTTATGTTCTTCAGAGTTGGGTCTCAAAGAAGTTCATGACTGGATGGTAATTCACTTCATTTGTGCCTGAGATCTTGTAAATGTTTGCTGGTTTCTGTCGACCTACCAAGCCTAAGATTTTACTAAATTTCAAACTGCAGCGTTGTTCTCTTCCCGGTTGCAGTTACATTTTTTGTTACCTGGTGGTTCATTCAGTTCGTTGATGGTTTCTTCAGTCCATTATATGCTCAGTTGGGCATCGACATATTTGGTAAGTTCTCCAATATTTGTTGTTTAAGTCGCATGCTTTTTGCAAGGTAAGGTTTTTTTGGTCCTCCTCTTTGGTACTTAGATTTTAGTTGCACTACCACTGAGTTTGTAAAGCATGTGAAATTGATTATGTTTTCTTTCCTATGATTGATGAGAGAATTGTTTGATTTGAGAATGGTTGAAAAAATGTAACAATACAAAAAAAATTTCAATTTGAAAAAGAAATATTCCACACATATGGTGCTGAGCTGATTGATAGAGTTCATTAGGTGCCATTATTTTCGTTTTTCTTCCATATATGACTGTATGAGGACCAGGCATTAAAGATAGAATTAAAGCATCCAAGATTCTTCTGGATTTGCTGTTACCTGATTTACTTCCTCGTATTTATCCCTAAATGAAGTAAATTGGAATTTGAATGTAGCACAAAAATTTCTTAAGACAGTTGGGCTCAAGGATCAAAATATCGTTTCGAAACGGTTGAAACATTCGAAACGTTTCTGTTTCTAAGGAGACCAAAATGAATCAGTAATGAAATAGAAATTCTAATACTTTGAAGTGTTCCATAATGTTTCAAAATATTTTGTTATATTTCAATGTATTTGCACAATTATTTCGGAATGTTTCAAGGTATTTCAAAAAATTTTGGTATATTTCGACCAATGTTTTGAAAAAATAATTAAATTTTTTTTTTTCATTATGTTTTTGAAACAGTTGAGACATTTTCAAAACATGTTGAAACATTTTCGTTTTCTAGGTCACCGAAAAAAAATTTTGATCCTTAGTTGAGCCACGTAGGATTATTGCAAATGTCTCAAAATACTGAACCATGACTTACATCATTTAATAGTGCTCGAAAACTGAACTAAACTAGTAATTGGAATTGAATACTGCTTCTGGCCCTTGAATTATGGAATTCTATTTTTGGTCAGTCAAATAAAAAGGTGAATTCTAAATCACTAAAAATTGGTCATGTGAGAACCCAGGTGCTCTAAAATGCTATAACAAAAGAAGTGATGGCATCTCTGTATGTCACAGTCATTAAAAAAAAGGCAAATTCATTTTTCTACGCCATAGGACTGTGGACTATAGGCATCAACAGTTTAAGTTTCTTACCATTTCATTTCTCCAAAATTGACAGTAAAATATGCTTGAAAGAGAGCAATTATGGCTATATGGTTGTCCTTCAATGGTTTGCGTCTGAAAATGACGCAACTTGATGATCAGCAACTAAACCCACATACAAGAAGCCAATTGAAATACCCTGAACATAGTTTTTAAACCTTGGCCTAGACATCAACCTGACAAATGGACTGGGTCAATAGGTAATTGATTCAACAATTAGGTCACTGTCGGATTGGTCATATAAAAAAAAATTAATAATAAGAAATATGCTAAAAAATTATAATAATTCTAAAAACATGTTTAATGTATATTAGATCAAGCAAAAACTCAAAAATTATTCAATATTTGTACATACTTGAAGCAGTTAAATCTATGGAAAATAATGATCCAATATAAACCAAATAAACAAAAGCAAAATTTCCACTAATGAGTTCTGGGCATGAATGAACCAGACACCTATTTTCTAGCAAAGTTACATTTGCACTAGGCATATTATCAAACAGCTAATACACAAAGAAACATACCCACAGTTCATAAACTACAAGCCACACAAATCTCCATACAATAAACTACAGCGTATCATAAATTTTATATGAATTGCAGTTATAATAGTTACATTGTACTGAATGTTCCCAAAATTTACAAATTAGAGGACAGATTTTTTTTTTTTTAGCTATCAGTTACATTGTACTGGAATATGAATGTTCACAAAATGCACTGCATATATTTGAAGATTTTGGCACAAGGGTGCTTGTTAAATGCTGATTGTTAGCTTGGGGCAGAAAAAGAATTAGACAATAGCCACCAGTAGGCCAAAATTCATACAATCATCACTGAAATAATATCACAGAGACTGATAGTGTGAGAGAGAGAGAGATACGGTGATGAAGATGAAATACCTGCTGTGTCAAGTTAAGGAAATGTGCATAGATAGAGAGTGAAGCAAAATCGTCAACCCCTCTTTCAATTCAAGAAGCCAACGACATGCGATGAGACAACGATGAAGAGACGGCCATGAAGCATGAACACAAATCTGACTATGGTGGTGGAGACTCCTGATTTCGTTCAATTGGCGGAGAGAGGTTGCAGAGGCCATAGAGAGAAGAGTGAGGTTGAGGGGTTGAGAGAGGCAAAGGCGCTACCAGATAGCAATTAGGGCAAAAATGCCCAAAAAAATTGATTTTTACAGGATTTTAATTGATCCACCTGGTTGAACGGTTAGGTCAAGAACTGGCCAGTTCAACGGGTCTTGGATGGTTTTTGTGCTTGAATGATCTAATCTAATAACCGGCTCGGTTCAATGGGTCTACCCGTCGGGCCGGGCTGGGTTGTAAAACACTGAGGGAAGGCATTGTTTCTTTCTCAAAACAGATGAAAAATTGACTTGTCAGTTATTTTTTAGTATGTAAGGCCATGTGTCTTGTCATTGTCTTCCTTCTTAGGCTCTAATCCCATTCTTGTGATGCGTTTATCTTTTTTTTCTCTTGTGTCTATTGAGGGCAACAGCCCAAGGAATTGAGTTATTTATATCGGTGCTAACGTGTTAAACAGGAGCTGCATTTGGATTAGATATCATTACTTCCCAATACTACTAATACTTTCCTTGTGAACATGTCACTGAACATTGTAGGCAAGACATGAATTATGGTGTATCAAGTTCTATGTTATTTTGTGGTACGTATCTTATGTTATTGTGTATCATGGACTTTCAAAATTTTATAACAAATTATGAAAAAATGGTAATGAGCATAACTATTAAATATATGAAAGTAAGGTTCACTTGAAGTAATAATCATATACTTGAAAATAAAATGTTCGACATTCTGGTCATGATATCTAAAACTGAACATTAGGGGACCTTATATCTTTACTTTTACCATATGACATTCCATCTTAGTGCTTTCGTCAATGATATTTAGACACATCGAGAGACAAAGTAGGAGGAGCAAATAGTTGCAAGAGTGCTGCTATAGAGTTGTCAATAAATATACAAGATACTAGGTTCAATGTGCTATTACATTATTTAGATCTCAGGTTCCAACTTACAGTTTTTCTTCTTCTTCTTCTTATTTTATTTTATTTTATTTTGTATTTTTTTGGAATTCCCCATGAAATCGCATGCCCTTCTGGAATTTGAAAATAAACTTGTAAAGCAGTTTCAACAGGAAGATATCAAATTGTCAAAATTTTCCTTCTCCATAATTTTAGGTGTTTTTCGGATGTGAATAGACTTATTAGGTTGTACGTGGTTTATGTCCATTTTAATTAGTTCCTCATGAGTGCAGTATTTACACTATTTGTACTTCTTTCCATTTTTTGAAATTGACTAGCATACTGACATTCAGAATACGGACAAGGCATAGACTGCCCTACCTCTTACTTTTCCCTAAATTCTGCAGTCCAGCAATCTATAATAGAATACAGAGCCTCTGTTTCTGAGTGAGATATATCACCAGAGGAGAAGACATGGACTTGTAGCCCGCTAGTACCCAGCAAGCTTCGTGACCTCCTTCCCTCTCATCTTTTTCGTTATCCTCCCCTTCTCATCCACTTGCCATCTGAGGCATAGACATTTGCCAACTGCACATATTTGAGCCCCATTATTGCCTTCAATCCTCATTAGCTTCTTATCTGCCTGATTTTTTACTCTTTAGTTAGTTATTGGAGAAGTAAAATGTCTATAATTTTTTATGATTAAGCCATTTGAGATTATTGGGTAATCGGATTTGTTGGTACATTATTTTATTGTTTCACTTTTGTTTGGTGTTGATTGGATTGTTTTAGAAGTGAATGGGCGCTGCCCTGTGAGTGTTTGATGAAGTTTTTGTTCTACCACTGCGCCAATTAGCAATTATTACCAAACCAAACCAAGCCATTTTAAATCCAACAAAGCCTTGTCCCAGTTATTTGGGGTTGACTATAGGTATTTTTCTCGCCATTTTACTTTGTCAAGGACTATGTTAGGTTAAATACAAGCAAACATTTCCTTCTCCTGTACCTTATTCCATGTCAAGTTTGGTCTTTTCATTCCGCTGACATTTATGTTAGCGATAATCATGTCTCTCCTTCTCACTAGTTCACTTATGGGGCTTCATTGTACATGTCTAAACAATCTTTGTTGGTTTTGTCTCTCAATTTATCTATGTTCATGCTGAAAAATTATATTAACTTGCAAAAAAAAAAATTACATACGAAGAAGAATAAGAGATAAAAGAAGTCTGTTACTCCAATATTAGTAAAAACTAGGTAAAAGAGGCAGTATATATGAAACCTTGTCACAAGAGAAATACTAGAATGCCCCTAATTATAAATAAACATAAATATAGATGCAATTTTAACACCCCTTCAAACTCTTGATGTGCCATTAGGAAGCATAGAGAGTGTGTCAAGAAAAAAAAACGTAATGTAGAGTACGACTTTGTGAAAAAGCTGGCCAATTGCATCATAGAAGAAAAAAAAGGTAAGGAAATTGTCTCAAGTTGAAGATGGTAGCACACAAAATGACAATCGATCTTAATATACTTGGTCTGCTTATGAAAAATAGAATTGTGTGCAATTTGAATGACACTCTTATTGTCACAATATATAGAAGTTGGATCAGAAAATGGAAAGCCTAGATCGGCAAGCAACCATCTCCTCCATACTATTATTAACGTAGTAGTAGCCATAACATGATATTCAACCTCAGTACTGGAATGAGGGACAACAATATGTTTTTTACTTCTCCATGAAATTAGGGAATCACCAAGAAAGACACAGAAATCAGTTGTGGATTTACGATGCATGACATCACCAGCCTAGTCAGCATCGGAAAAGACACAAAATTCCAAAGAAGAAGTGGAAGAGAATAATAAACTCTGATATGCCCTAAATAACCCAAAATGGAGAACTGCAGTCTAGTGAACTGTAATTGAAGAAGAAACAAACTAACTTAGAACATGAACAATATAAGCAATATTAGGTTGTGTAATAGTGAGATAGATTAAGTTACAAACAAGAATCCGATTCAAAGTAAGATTAGCCAAAGGGACACTATCAATAGAACTGTAATGTGCATTAAGCTCAAGAGGAGTCTCAATAGTCTGAGAATCTGTTAGTTGAACCCTATGGATAACATTAGTTGCATACTTTAACTGAGAAAGAAGATAAGCCTTAGGTGACTAAACCATTTCCATGCCTAGAAAAAACTGAAGGACACCAAGATCCTCATTTCAAACTGATGCTCTAAATGAGCCTTTAAAACTAAGATACCTACATAATCATCTCCGGTCA